TAGTCTGGATGAAAACTTCTGCTGTACTCTAGAGACATTTAGCTGATGATGGTGTGATAAAAGAACCCTCATTCCTGTATCCTTTTTCCTTCATACTGCCTAGTTGTTAGAGGCCTGGATTCTGGTTTACTTCACTTATTTTTGGATACAGAGGCTAGCTAGCAGTGCTTTATGGCATTCAGGCAGCTCATCTGAAAGCCTCAGCCAAGTGAACCTCTCTGGCCTTTCTTCTGTGATGAGCACAATGGGAGAGATTCTGCCTTCATGGAAATTCACTTTTTGTCCCCTAAAAGAGTATGGTTATTTAGATGGTAGACTTAAAACATGCAGGACATTAATGTTTGCTACATTTGATTTGCTTTCACAGAAAAATATCTAGAAACTTATATAAAGGTTGTTCTGCTGTAAGTGCTGCCTATGTGTGTGTATATATTGCAGTTTGCAAATTGAGACCTAGTGACCTCAGTGAAATCAGAGCACTCTATGGGATTAAATGCATGCTGTAAGTAACTAGAGCAAATTGATAATGCTAACTGTAAGAAAGTGTGTGAGCTAAATATGCAAGTAAATGACATTTTGATTAATACTCTAGGGGGTTTTATGTATTGCAGAGTCATTCAATTTTAATTGCCAAGGAAAGGTCGGTATCTTCTGGGAAACACCTGCTATCCTAGCTGAAAACTTGGTGCAGTTAGTAGGATGTTGGATGGTTGGTCTGGAAAACTGGCCTTTCCTTCCCATGTCTCAAAACCCTTTGAGACAGAAGATACATGTTCGTGTGGTTTTGCTCTAAATTAACTTTCATTAAAAAAGAGGTGGGGGAGAGAAAGGGGTCTCTACTGCTGGGTAAATGGTAAAAGAAATTATTCCCACTTCAGTGTAAACCGAGGTTCACAGGCAGGCAGCTCCAAATAAGTTATCTAAGTAAATAATGGAAAGACTATTTCCAGTGCTTCATATTGGCCCAGATGAGTTATATTTGAAGGCTGACAGCTACCAAATCCATATTTGCTTTGTTGAAGTCTGAACTGTTTAAAGGTAAGCTGCCACTACAAACCCAAATGTAAATATCCTTGTTAGAATCCATGAAAGGGCCCTTTGAAACAGTGAATCACTTAAGTGCATGCTGGGCATTTTGGTTTTTTGGATGCTTTTGTTGAAGTTCTGTTCCTTCAGACAGTTAAAATTTATGCTTATCTGGTTCATGTATATGCTTTCTCTTCTCTCTTCAGTTCTTGTGTGGATGAGTTTAGGTTAAAGAAGCCCAAGATGGGTCTTGATGGAGCAGGCAAGCAGAAACAAGAACCTCCCTTAGTGCAACACACTAATTTGCTGTCCACCCAGATGAGTGTGTGCAGTCAGGCTGTGGACAGCTACTCTGGATTCTCCTGCTTGCAAGCAAGGCTGCTCAGCACAAAACATCCAGCATGTTCTGGAGAGCATCTGCAACTTCCCTGTGCTGCAGCTCTGCTGCTGGGGACAGGCAGAGGTGCAGTGGGAAGGAACACTGCATCCCCAGCTTCCTCTGCAGCATCCTGTCCTTTGGGGTCTTTTGCTTTCACCAGCGTGGTAGATTGGCTCATTAGACTCCTTTTTGCATTGATTTTGTGAGGTTAATACCTATAACTAATGAAAAATCAGTACTTCCATGGGATCTCTTGAAAATAAACTGATTTTTATGTAGACTATATGCTTTGATTGATAGATTGATTTAATCTGTTTTGATTCAGATTGATTTAATCTGCTCAATCTAAAATTAGCTTCAACACTTTTCATGTACGAATTACTTCTGCTAAGATTTTTAACTCGAACAATGTTCACAAAGGTAAGGTTCAAAGAGGAATGCTGATCATCTTTTGTCAGCATGTCATCCTGGATTCAAACTCACTTTCTTTGTAATGCATGGTCACATCCTCATTTTATCCTCTTGCAACACAAAAATACTGTCTATGTAGTTACTCCAACTACGGTTCAGGAGAAGGCTTCTGGCCTACAGAAACAAAACTAGGAAACAACTGAAAGGTAGGTTTTCCATGGGAATTGGACATTTCACTTCTGTAGTGCCATATTTTGAAAAGATTTCACAGTAAAATTATCACTTATATTGATAAGATTTATGCTAAAAGCCCATACAATTCTTTGAAGTACTTGTTCCTCTGCTAGCAAGTTCATTACTAAATAATAGCATAAATAACATTAAAACTGTGATAATGGAGCCTCCTACAAAATATTAATATTTAAGTTTTGCCTCAGCAAATCTTTCCATAGAAGATTAATCTGTTTTTAAGATTGGAAACACGATAATGACATACTAACACCACCAACTGCACATAATATTAGCTGTAGAAATTCACACCATGAATCTTATATTTTTTTCATAAATTACTTAATCCCACTTATTCTGTAAGGTAGATAATGATTTTTAGACTCTTGGCTAAATGTTCTTATGAAAGCTCTCTGTCCTGGCTCCAGGTGTGGTTCTAGATCCTATTCAGACTTTCTAGTTAGATATTCAAAGGAGTTAATGTATCAGACCACAGGTATGCTAAAGTGCAAGCTTCAGTCTACCAACAACTGGGGGAGCTGCTTACCACTGATGCAGTGCAGATCAGTGTGCACTCCAAACATTACTGAAGTCCAAGGAAAGCAAGATGTGAAATAAGCTTTGAGTGATCAGAACAGGTCCAGCTTGTTTAGGGAAACACTGAAAATTCTTAGAAATATAAATTGTTTATCTCTTTGAATTGATTTGGAATATCCTGCATGCATATGTCTCTACTTTATAGAGAGAAAAAAAAGGAAAAAGGTAAAGGGAGGGGGGGACTGCTGTAGGTTAACACTTTGGGGGTAAAAGGATCTTGAAAGAGAGTTCCTTCTTTTCATGCTGCCCTGCCTTTCTACAGGTTTTAGCACTGATAGCCATTTGAAGCACTTTTTCATTTTTTAAAATTTAGCTCAAAACAATCAGGTTAGGTGGCATGTGTTTCTAACTGAAAGGCAGGTACATGAGAACTGCCTGTGCCTTATGCCTCTTCAGCTTTATTTGTGTGAACACTCACCTATCTCCAACTGTGCTAATTACTGAATTTTAACTGTTTTGAATGGATCAGTGAAAGTGACTACAGTACCAGAATGTGCTGCCTTCTCACTTCTGAGTGCCAGTGCTCTGGACTGCAGTCTGAGCAGTTCAGCTCAGCCCCAGAAACTACATTTGTGACACTCAACCTTGGAACTGATTGCTATGCTAAAAAGGAGCATTAGCATCATCATCATCAGTATCATCATTGTTCAGCATAAGGCAAGTTCTAAACACATTCAATTGCCTTAAAACTGCATGACTTTTAAGAGTAGGTGTTAATCCTAAAGTCATTTAGAAGTACCTCGCTTCTGAATTTATTACTGGTGCCCAGATCTGTAAGAGATACTTGTACAATGTAAAATAATACAATAGTGTCAATGGTGATGTTTCACTATTTAGCAAATAAATTTGGCATAAATACAAGGCAGGCACAATTAAGGGATATTACAAGCCTGTGGGGACAGCTAAGGGTCACACAGTTAATGCTGAAATAAACACACAGTTCTATTTCTGTGAAAAGGAATTCAGTCGTATCTGAATAATCTTGCCATAAAGCACTTAAAATAAAACAAACACAAAAGGAACTTAACCAGAACCTCACAACAAAACAAACTGCTCTCAACTGCTTTCATAGGTAGATCGTGTTTATAAATGGGTTCTCTATTATTTTGATCTTTCTCTGATTTTATTTGGACGCATCTGCGTTATAGATGCTGAAAAACCATTATCTTTCCTTCATGTTACTGAGCTGATTACATGGAAAATAAAATGTTTCTCCTTTTCTTCCTACCTTGCGTTGGCCAGAAAAAAAAATAAAAATAATGCTGTTCCCTCAAGATGTGAATGTGATGCCACACAGCTTCATAGGGAAAGAGAGCATTTCAGACAGCCAGGTCCTTCTATACATTCTTAATAAAACCAGTTAAAACTCTGCTGTGGGGCTTGCAGGGACAGAATAGTTCAAGACAGGAGTTATACAGCCCCATCGTTTTTAATTACTTTTGCGGAGAAATTACAAGAGGAGCTTTCTAAAAGCACCGTTCCATTCTGTGCCACGTTCAATGGGTTATTCCTGTGGGCAACGCGGCGCGACACCTGCGCCTGCATGGAGCTGTGCTAAAGGCTCTGCTCGGAGCCAGTGCGAGGTGCCCCCTTCAGCTCATGAGAGCTCCGCGTAGCCAGGCACTGACGGGGAAACCTGGAGAGCAACAGCGGAATCGCATCTTCGAACGCCTTCTGAACTCTGTGCCCGGCTCTACATCTTTCCCGTGGTTAGAAGGAGTTTTTTTCGTTGCTGGGGTGCTTTGGTTTCTATTTAATAACGGCCATGCCGAGCAACCAAACAACAATCTGAGGGAGGTTTACATTTTTTCAATGCACTTCACTTTCCTAAAAGAGATTTTCGAGTATCTTCAGTTCAAACCCTTGAAAATTATGGAAGTCGAGAAAAATTCAACTCGAAAGCACCAGCCCACACTCCGGCATCTCCCCCCGTGAACACGACCGCCCCAGGGCAGCCATCGGTAGCCGCTGGGCAGTCGCGGGGTGTCCAGCTAAGCCGGCGTTTGTCGCAGATTCCCGGCGGAATTCCCGGCGCTCTCTTTCCGCAGCCCCGCGGGCACCGCGCTGCGGGCAGCGCTGCCCCGCCGCCGGCCGCGCGCCGCCAGGGGGCGCCCGAGCGCGCGTCCCCCGGGGGGCGAGCGGGGCCGAGCGGGGCCGAGCCTCCCGCGCCGCCCCCCGCCCGCGCACGGCGGCAGCCGGACCGCACCTCTCCGCTCCTCCGCTCCGCACCTCTCCGCACCCCACAGCACCGCACAGCACCGCGCGGCCGACGCACCTCTCCGCCCCGCTCCGCTCCGCACGGCCGCCGCACAACTGCGCTCCGCTGTGCCAGCGGGAGCCGGCCGCGGAGGCGGCGAGGATGCTGCCCCTCAGCCGCGGGCGGCCCCGCCGCTGGCAGCACCCGCTGCTCCTCCTGTCAGCGCTGCTGTGGGCTCCGGCGCTGATGGCTTTCAACCTGGACGAGGAGAAGCTGACGGTGTACAGCGGGCCCCCGGGCAGCTACTTCGGGTACTCGGTGGACTTCTACATCCCCGACCCCAGCACGTGAGTGCCGCGCCGGGGCGGCGGGGCCGGGCCGCCCCCCGCCCGGGGAACACTGTGGGAAGGCGGCGGGCGAACGGCGGCGTCGCGCCCGGGGGTGACAGCGCCCTTCGCCCGCCTGTCCCGATGGCCCCGGTGACCTCCCGGTGTGTTTCGCAGGGTCAGTGTCCTGGTGGGAGCTCCCAAAGCCAACACCACTCAGCCGGACATCGTGGAAGGAGGAGCGGTGTATTACTGCGCCTGGCCCGCCGCCCGGTGCCGGCAGATCCCCTTCGACAACACCAGTGAGTGCGCGGCTGTCCCGCGGTGCTCTGCCCGGGACCCCCTCGGCTCCTCCGCCATCCCTGTACTTGGGCTTTGATCCGAGTATCTGCCCTCGGATAGAAATCCCGCTCCTGGGAGTCTGAGTGCATGTGCTCTTGCAGGGAAGGGTTTAATGGTCCCCAGAGAAATAACAGGATTGTGACCTCCAGGATCAGTAGTTCATCTTAATAACTCCTTTTTTTTTCTTCTTCTCCTTCTCAGCTGAAAGGTATTTGTGGCAGATTCCTGCTTTTGAAAATACTTTTGCATGCTCAGAAGGCAAAGCCCCAAAACCCTTGTCTCACACTTCTCTGAACCACAGATATAACAGGATTTCTAGTGTTTGCTGTTATTTTCAACGAGGGGATTTCTGGCTGTTCAAATGGATGAAGTGCCTCATGTGGCATGCTTATTTAATTCTATTCAGAAAGCAAGAATTTTGTTTCAGAATACTGAAGCTAGATGCAAACCGATTTAGGCACAATGTGGATAGATTATATCCACTTCCAAAATCCCAAGACAGATGTTTCTTATTTAATTAGAGGGAACACAAGTTTTAAACAATTCAAGCTGTTTATGTTTTCTGTTGTCTCTTTATAGGTTTTGAAAATAATTTAAACCTAGTGTTTGCAGAGACTTTAAAACTGCTTCCTTTATTTAGGCAGACTTTGACAGTTTGACCATTAAGCGAAAGTTAATTATTCTTTAGGTTATATTTAATCTCAATATTTGTGGTTTATTGAAATGTGAAAGCAATACAATTCTTTTTCTTTGTTTGTTTGTTTTCGGATAGAAGTTAAATTAGAAGAGCTCACTTAACTGTGGCAAATAAGCAGTGCAGTTCTTTACTCCTCCCATCTCCAGCCACCCACATCTTATTACTGTGTTAGTGTCTAGGAATACTGATCAGGATGACTTTCCCATCATGCTGAGCATTCTTCAAAACAGAGTAAGTGGTAGTTCGTGTGTGCCTATATGGCTACTGGGGCAGGTAAAACTATGTACAGCATCTGGTTATATATGTAAATGGAAATACATATAGACAGTGTGCATACATTATTTTTATTGTGATATGTTCTGAGTATACATATTTAAAATAAAACCAGGAAACAGAGGAAATAGTCATGTATTTCCCATCTTACAGTTAGACAGTTCATGTAACAAAAGTGAAATGTATTTTCTATACAAAATAATTTCAAGTTTGAAAAGAAAACTTACAGACCAAATGAAAATTCCATCACATTTCTGAAGGGGAGTTTTGAAAAACTTATGAAAATCTAGTGATGAAACATAGAAGGACATCTGACTTTCCTGTGGGAAACTTGGGACAGCTCCATACTCTTCTCAGGGATGTCCTTTTGCAGATACTGTGTTTTGAATAAAGGCACAAACTGGGAGTAAGTATATCAGTAAGGCTTTGGACTGTATCACACAACTATTCCATTTGAAATCTCCACAGCGTGCTTCATTCCGTCTTCGCGAGCTGATTTTGTCCTAGATAGAATCTTGACTTGCAGACAGCTGAAGTTAAGCCAGAAGCAGCTGTGGTGTGGGCAGAGATGCACTGTCCTTGTGGCAGGGATGGCAGCACAGGCAGGTTTAGCAGTGCTGTCCCTGGCTCTTGAATTCCACTCCCAAGGGCAGTAAAGGTGTCATTTTGCACAATTCAGCAATGTCCTCTACACAAGGACCCCGGGAAGAAGGTTGGCATGGCTTGGACCACACCCTATTCTTCACTGCCAGCAACTGAAAGTCCATCTCCAATATGCCTTACATGACTCCTTCTGCTGATTTCTGGATGTATATTACACATCACTTTTTTCTCTCCCAAACCCATTCTTTACAGAATCAAATTTATTGCCCCCAGCAGAGTAATTCCACAGGAGCTCTGTCCTAGGTGAAACTATTTCAAATAGTCTGTCACACAAAGTTTCTTTTGAAGCCTTTAACTGTGTTATACCTACTGGAACTTAGATAGTCCTTGGTAAATAGGTGGGGTGTTTTCAGTTCATGGCTCCTGTACAGACATCTTGTACTCATTATGCCTTCTACAACATCACTCAGAAATTTTGCTATTCCCATTTTTAATATTTATCCTAATAAACCAAGAGAAGTCAGTCTGGGTTGTCAAAGATCATACAAAAAGTTGATGATGATACTGGTAACTGACTTGGGAGCTTTTTCTTCTTCTTCCAGTGCCTTTACCACAAGATTATTCTTTCTTCCAAAACAGAAACACTCAAAAGTTGTCAGAAGACTAGAAGTTCAGTTGTAGCAGCTTTAATATTGAAGATTAATGTTTCTTGCCTTGTAGGAGATCTTTAAAAGTCTTGTAAAGCTTTGAGAATGTTTTCTGAAACAAAACAGAAGAACTACAGGGGCTGCTTCAGAGCTGAAAAATTTCATTTTGATGCATTTTTATGCAATGCTTCAATTTTTCAATACTTTCTTCTTGGCTCTAACTAATAATATCTCTTTCAGTTAGATTAGCTAAGCAAAGAACAGTAAAAAAGCCAAAACTACTGAATAATTTGGAGCATTCTTAATAAGGTTCAGAAGTATAAACTGAGTGGAACTGGAAGGAACTGGAAAGAAAGGCAGTGTTGAACCAACATGTGGATAAAGAATTTGATAAATCCCCATTTTTCAGCTTCAAAAATTCAATGGGGAGGACTTCTAAATTCTAAAAAAATTGTCAGAGTCAGGCAGACTCACATATACTATATCCAAAGTTCAATATGTGAAATTGCTTCAGGTCACAGAAACTAAAATTTTCACTGTTTAGTAAAAATTAAAGAGATTAACAAATCCAAGAGGTTGAAAGACAGTGGCTTAAATTCCATATGAGCATGAGGACTCATGTCTCCTACTTCTGAGGACTGGAGCTCAGCTGTGTTGCATTCAGTGCAAGTTATGTTTTGCCCTTGAGGAGGGAACATGCAGTGTGTGCACTTGGATGATGTTTGGACTTTTACTGCCACAAACAAGTATCTTAAGTGGACATGTAATTGGTAAGACTCATGTAACTGCACAGATTATTTCTGTTTCCACAAAAATAGTACAGCTCATTTCAAGTGAGATTCCTTTGTTTGCAAATGCTTTCATGTTATTTGTATTTACATTGTTACTATCTCGATCCTGCTAAATGAAAACAGTGAGGACACTGAGTAGTATTCTGTGATGGCTTTAAGTCAAGATTCTGGACATTTTCAGATATCATGGTGTGGAGTTACTTTGTACTAATTTATAGTTATCATGTATTTTACAGTTACTGAGGTGTTTGATAATTGGCTTGTAACGAAAAAGAAACAAAATCTCTCTCCACCAATATTTAAGGCTTGTTAAGAGGCAATGAGAGGCTAACAAGTCAGGAAAAGGAAAGAAGAAAAAAGTAATCTGTTGAATTTGTAAACTATTTATTGCTTTAGACAGAGGGGGCATTTGTTCAAGAGGTGATATGAGGGAGCCAAGTAACTGACAGACACCTTAGTTAAAAACTTAGTCTTGCTTAGGTTAATTTTTTGATGTTCAGTGTTGAGATAGGATGATTTTTGGTTCTGTAAAGGCTGTTTGGTTGAAGGGATTTGTTTGTTTGTTTATTTACTTATGTGAGTAATATATTTTTATTTTTAAAATAACTGAAGTGTTATTTTAAAAAATGTCATTCTGTATCCTGAGCCATAGAGCCCCAAAGGGAGAACATGAGTGTCAGGCCTAAATCTGACATCCTGACACTGGTGGGAGGCAACTGCAGTGTTTCCCAGTAGATCAGGGATATGACACTGCAAAGGATGCACCCAGTCATTGGCAAGGTGCAGGTAACTTACCACACAGACTGTGGCACTCAGTATTAAGCTTTATTTTTTGGATCATGCACGCTTTAAATGACAAAAAAAAAAGTCTTCATGGTTTATGAAGCCCCCTTACTCTTTTTTATTATTCCTTGGAGGCTAAGATCAGATGAGAGAGTAGGCACTGTATTCCTAGTGAAAGATACAAAAAAACTTTAAAAATGCATGAGTGCCATGTTTAACCTGTCAAACACAGACTGGGCTCCTTACTACTAGCAATGATGCTCAAAACCAAGACTACTTCTGAAATCATCTCTGTGGCACTGTGCATGTGTTAGACTGGCCAGGATGGTCTGAGTGCTATGGGCAGCTGCATAACCTGTGGAAATGTGGAAATCTATGTAGGCTAAACTACCCTGCTGAGAAGATGGCTCAGTTGGAGTCTATTGAGGTGCAGGAGTATCTGCAGCCCATTCCAAAAAGCCGCATCAGCCAACTGAAATTGCTCTAGAGGAACTTGTCCCAGATGGTTACTAATTTCTCAGGCCACCTATCTCTGCTTCTCATGTAGCTAACCCAGAGATTTCCAAAGCAATGAGGTTATTTGCTTGCAATAATTAATCCTATTGATGAAATAGCATTCCTGACAAGCAAGAGAGGGGAAAAGAGGGAAGGAGGGTGAAATTTTGTCATGTAGGATTTGAGCTGACCCATCCATAAGCAAATCATGTAACCAGACATTCCCATATGGGTTGGCCAGTGATATGGCCTGCAGCCAAGAAGGGGCTTTAGCAGGAACTCTCTGTGTTTCCTGCTGTTGATACAGAACTGACTCTGAAGTCCTGTGTTTGCACTTCTTTAAAGCTCCCTAGATCTGTGTGCCAGGGTCAAGGCTCTGGGAAGAAGCTCAAAGCACCCCTGAAAGCACAATGGGTGCTTTAACCTGCTCCATTGCAGCAGGGAGCTGAGATAAAGTATAATGGAAAGGCTTTTAGTATCCCCTTACCCCAGGAAATATAGATTGAAGGGCAGTGACTCTTCTCCCTTGTTTCCCTACTTTGTGAAGTTGTCTGGTTGCATTGCAGTGTAAGGCTGTGATACTCTGAAACTCAATGAGAGGACAGGGAAACAAGCGTTGGCATCATATTAAAGGCTTGTGTTCTGTCTTTCCTGCCTACACAAAGCTAACT